TTAAATAAAACACCTTTAACCGTTCAAAACGCGAAGGTAAACCTCAAATGTTAAAGTTTTTAATTAAATTTAATTATGGCTAATAACTTACTTATAATAGGTAACGCTAACTTTTAATTTAATTGTTTTAAAGTTATTTCATCCTAGACTTACTTGAATCCCGATTGCTATATATAACGATAATCTTGCTCTGTTAGTAAAATCCTTACATATGAACGGTCGATAAAACAAAGCGGTGTTAACTATAATAAAATTTCTACCCTTCCAATGTGTCCTTGCTGAATTTATTTAATAATTTATAGTAGCTACAGAATCTGACTCGTAGCGGATTTATTAAGGTTAGCTTTGTAACAATTTATTGAGCTTTATACCGAAGAAGTGGGAGACCTGTCGCTAAAACAAAATTTAATAGTCTTCGTTAAGCAAACTCAGTTCTTTATCAATTGTTTTGAAATAAATTAATTGTCCAGCGTTCTGATACTTGCACAAATAACTCCGCTATGAAAGCCGCTTCATAAACGTTGAAAGAGTAAATGTACTTTATTAAACCTTAGATACAGCTGTTTTAAAGTTGCTTTTGACTAACGAATATTTTAGATCTTTTTTAAATACATTTAATTACTACTTGTCAGTTCTTGACTATGGCGAACAAGACTGTGTATTCAGTTTAATAAAATTCTGCGCACACGCCGCTGAACAGTTAGTGTTAATATTCTTCTAGAATGTAGTTTGCCGTTAAAAACTAATAGAACACACGAATCGGTCTTCTAGAGTTACGGCTGCTGCAAAGCATCCGTAACGTAGTTGAAATAATTTACAAAAACGTTAACTTCTATGTATATACCGCGTTCCAAACCGTTGTAGTGTTTTATTTACATGTTTCCTACTCGCGTACACTACAGATAGTATTTATTACCGCTTCATTTTTTAGTTCATAGTCTTAAGTATATAATAAGTCCTAAGTATAAGTATTCGTAATCGTAGTCTACATTACATATAACGTCGCGTTGTCTGTTGATGGTGTACATAATTTAAACAAACTCTCGATAGTAAAAGTATTAATATGAGATGAAATTAATTTGCCATTTAATTAAACAATCCCCTTACATAAATACTTAATGCATAAATTAACATACACCAGTGATATACGGTAATCGCATTTGCGGATCAGGGATAGATAACTTACATTGATCCCACTTTGTTAGTGTGTGCCATCAATACGGATAGTGCAATTAGTTCCCTAGGGATGCTCGGTTAGATATTTATCCCTTGATCGCAGTATCTTTGACTTTTCATCTTATGTTTATCTAATATAATTATTTATTTATTAAAAATACCAAACCGTTTTTAAGTTTTTTACATTCTCGGGTAAATGGGACTGCATTTAACGCAATGCAATAATATATTAGAAAGAAATCGGAAGTCATGTTTAGTAATTAGTGAAGTAAAGCAAAATGGTATAAATATTGAAGCAAATAAAAAATATTATGCTACCTGTTCTTTAAATATTTTATTTAAAAAAAAATTGATGACACCAACGGGCCGTTGGTGTCTTCAATTCGATTTCTTCCAAAATGTTCTAATCAGTTTTTCTGAAACATGTTGGACTTCGTCTTAAAATCTGGATATCAAATATGTGGTAGGAATATCGAAATTTCGCCCGGGGCACGAATCGCCGTCCACAGAATAAAAACCCAAAAGGTTAAGGTTCAGTCTGCCGATTGCCAAAATAAGTTGACAGTGCATTTTATTTAGCTGAAGTATCTCACCTACCATCAAGGAAACCTGCTCTGTCTGTCCTCCTCTAGCGTGAAAAAAATATTCATTTTTATTTTAATAATATAAAAACCGATGCTAACAATTACTATATCAATAACAAGAAAGATTACTCCATAATATCTCCATTTTTATCTATCTAAAGGATGGCCATTAAATTGGATACTGCCACATTAGAATAAACCTGAGCCATTATGACGAAGCAATTACAGACAATAGCAGACAGTTATTTCGGCTGGCCCAGCAACCCGTCTTAATTATTCTGCAATAATCAGCGACCGCCGAAGAGCAGATTCAAGTTTCTTCCAATAAGTTGAATTTAAATTGGGATAGAATCAATTTAGCAGCTTTGTATGGTGTTATTTAGCTTACGTAACTAAAATGACTTTAGGCATTATTCCTTTAAGCTCACAAAATTGTATAATTATTTTATTTCTATCTGATTTGGTAACCGTTGTTTTGTTTGCAAGATTTTGTTGATACAACTCTAACAAATAATTCATAATAATGCATTATTTTTTCCATTGTTTATAGGAAATTTAATTACAATAACAATGGTTCTAGCAAGTTAATCTTAAAAGATGGAGATATATTCTGTGTCGAAAATTTTTTTTTTAAATTTAAATAGGAATCACCTTTTCTTCCATATTTTTTTGGTTTCACAGCGCACGCAACAGAAGCCCTCAAAATATAATAATATTCCCAATTTTTCCACTTTTTCTTCGCTTCTATTGGTCGCATCGTGGTGTTATATAAAATTTCTTCCGCGGCTAAGCTATCCAACACAAAAAAAAAATAATAATAATTAGAATCCGTACTTCCTGAGATTTACGCGTTCAAACAATCAAATTTAATTTACTTACGAGGAAGACATTTCCGAGTTTTTACTGTTTTCGTCGATTACGCAAACATACAACAATAATGCATGTACAAATAAAAGCTTATATTTTCCCCAGATTTGCAACCCAAGGCCTATCTCGCTTAATCCAATACTAGGTATGTTTAACCATTGGACTTCGGAAGTCAACAAAATTTATATTAGAAGTCCACCAAGTTTTGTTGAAATTCTTAAACACTCATTACTAAGAATTAAAAAAAAATCTTTCTTTAAAAATAGAAAGATCATTATTTTTGAAAACATTAATATTTTTCACGATGCCGGTTCAAGTCCTGCCCGAGTCGAAAATTTTTTTCAATTTATTTTCGATTTTTAAAAGATCATTAATGTTAAAAAAACAAGTTTATTATCAATAGCAAAAGTAATATAAAACACAGAAACAACAAAAAAAATACTTAAATTTCAGCGAACAATATTATGATACATGGTTAATTTTCGTAGAAATGTCTGTCTATTACGTTTCAGGTTTCGAGTTCAGGTTTCGAGGCCTGAAGGGATTTTAGATACAATTTTTAACAAGCTCTTGTCAAGATACCGTAATTAATTATGACAGTTTTTTAATATTTTTAAAAGTATGTAACATACCATTTAATGACATATTTACAATATTGTGTTTATACACATATCTAAGGTAGTTGAAGTATATATGATAAAAATTCAAATATACACTTTTCCTACGACGATCACAGTGATTTTACTTTTAACGGTTTTAAATGCAAAGTGTGTTAGTTAACTCCGAACTGACGTTTCAGATGCTTTACAACAGTTGTGCTCACGTCGAAAGTAAAAAAAATCAAAACACAAAAGTCATTTATTCATGTAGGTAACTAAAACTACAAAATCTATCTCTACAAAGCAGGTCTTAATTAAAAGAAGATTAAATATTTTTATAGTAACATAACAATCATTTTTGTAAACAACAAAATTATGTATCTGCTTGTTGTAAAACCAAGCAATTCTATGTTTCAGGCCCATGATCGACGACCACATGTACTTATCTTCAACAAAAGTAGCCTGCTGGCTGGCAACTTTCTTGAGTGTGTTTGTTACAGGTAATATAACTATAATTACTATCCCCTTTAAGAACATACGCAGAGCTTTTCCATAACAACTCTTAATTTTTAAAGTATAATATTTTTAAGGTTATAATTAGACACACACACAGAAACACACATAAAAAGATAACTTTGCATAACTGCTCTTTAACTTTTTTTTACGATACACAAACTTACGAATTTAATTCGTTGAATTCATTCGGTTTTGTCACTTGAACAGAAAATTTGGTGTATTTTTAGCCTTGCATATTTTAAACGGTCTGGACAGATCCTGAATTAAACAGCAGGTCTATTTCGAAGCGAAGCCGCAGGCTACAGCTAACTTTGTAAAAGCAGACCGTTTAACAAAGAGATACGAAATCCTTGTCAAATTAAAGCTCCATTACCCGAATAAATACCATCCCCCGTTTCACTAGTGACGAAATATCAAAGGTGTTTTTAAAGAAAGCAATAACACTCTTCCAACACTCGACTCAAATATTCCGCTAATCATTTTACAATTCACGACATCGACAAGTTAAGACTTCGTCTTTTCTAAGAGAAATGGAATATTAATTTGTTGGAAAATCTTTTTGAACTGGATATTTCGGTTCGGCGCGCTCTTTAATAATTCGGATTTCAATTGAGAATAGAGAAAGAATTCTACTCTATGCAGACCAGCTGTTCTTTACCTTTATGTTCGTATACATAAGGATTATACGATATTCATTAGAGAATAATAGGTGCTAGTTTGGAGTTGGAGTGGAATAAATTGCTTCTAATGGCGGTTGTCAAATTTCTTTGTTATAAATTCTGTCCATGAACTGTTGAATTCATTGAATTTTTATTGATAATTTAACTGTTAATGATGCAGTATATGCTTAATTTTCGAATAAAATCACATGTTTTATACAAATACAGTTCTAACGAATCAATTTTTGGTAAGAAAAAGTATGGTTCGGTATTTTTATAATAAAAAATAATACAATTAAAAAAAGGTAAAAAAAAAGAAAATCCCTTCAATCCTTGGGAATACTCAAAAGTCCCAAACATTTAATTACAGGCAGGGAATTGATGTTTGATACAGATCTATGCCCTGCCCGAAGGCAACAATTATTATTTTTCAGTTACGAACCTCGGACCTTCTATGCTTCAATTTACACATTTAACCACTGCCTCGTTTACGCAAACGTGTATGTCAGTGTCCCTAAATAAACATGTATTCCCTTTTCAAACGTTCACATCTAACCTCTATTGCGTGTTATTTTTACGCCATTTTAATTTCAGGTGAAATGCCAATTCAAGCGGAGGTCGAACCCGAATTTTTACAGGCCTTGGAAAATCACACAGTAACACAGGGCCGGGATGTGCACTTCACCTGTGTTGTCAATCATTTGTCAAATTACAGGGTAAGTGAACTTTTATTTATAAGTTATTTTTGTATTGTACCTTCCGCTCCTTCCGATCTCAGGCTGTGGTCTCCTATAACTGACAATAAAATTATCATTGAATTTTATGGGACGAGTGCGATAAGTACATTTTTATCATCTGTGCCGGACAAGTGTAAGGAAATAATCAAAGTGCAATCTTGCATCAGTCCCAGGGCGCGATATTTTAGTTAAATAGTTAAGTGGGTTATATTTATATGTAACAGTTAGTTTTAATATTAGATTACAATATGTTTGCGAGTGATCAGTGGCATATATAAACCGCTTCATGCCCGGAAAGATGTAAAATAAATAAATTAATAAAAAAAAAGGTCTGTGGTCAGTTCATCTCATGTGCGAAAGACAGCGTCGTTCACATCAATCCATGATAAACACTCGCACAGCAGCTCAAAGTCTAGGTTTATGATGATTTCGAAGTACACTTCTCTCCAAACTTTTTGGCCGGTCTGACGTTGGCGCAAACGCCTTCGTACGCATGATACTGTAAATTTTAAGCAAAAAGTCGAGTCGCCTCGCACCCGTGCACCTCACGGGTTTTTCGCAACTTATACATGCTTTTAGCGTTTTTCGCAACCGTCCGCGCTAACTTCAGCCCTAACAAAATATTTGGAGAGCATTGTAACTAGAGACGCGGCGAGTTATATTCTCATGTTTCCTAATACGCCATGGTTAGCGTGTAAAAGAAATAGCAAAGTGTATTCTTAACATTTCGCTAGTGGAATGTAGCGATACAGTAAGCTACGGCGTTTATAGCAGACCCCAACCTAAGGTTGCTCGTGTGAAATAAATATTATTATGTCATTTCCGATGGTCTACCTGCTTTTATTTCTATAAATATGTTATTCGTAGCGGAATTGAAGTATTTTCTTTAATATTACATTTGCACCGTGCTTTTATATAGCATCAACTTAGTATAAAGATTATTTAATTTACTATATGTGACTTACTGATTTTACTTTTTTTAAGTTGAAAGTGCTTGTTAATTATATCGTTTACCTGACGAAATTTGACTGAAAAAAATACATCACTTAGTATTTTCTTTATTATATTTTAGATTATTAAGAGAACGTGTAAACACATTTCTAAAATCGTTTTAGATTTTTTCACTTTACATCAAAAAGGGAAGAAGCCTTTTGACACAGTAATATTTTTCTCTTTCTTATGTGTATTGAATCATATTGCTGAATAAATCTTTATTATTATATTTATTAATATTGTAGTAGTTGAGAGTTAAATAAAATATGCACAAAGAATTTAATAATGTATTATGGTAAATTGTAATATGTAATAACCGTAAGAATACAATATAATATGTTAGAATTATTATAGAAGTAGGTTACAAAATAAGGCCAGTTTAAGGGCGCCATTTTAACAGGCCTGTGGTTTTCGCCGCAGGCGCATCGAAAGACGTTGTTGACATGGTAACAGACCATTTCTAACAAAAAATTTTGACTGGTTTTTGAGTGTCGATGTCTAGCTTTGAAAATCTAGAAAATACTATGAATTAAAATGAAAACAGGCTTTTAATAGCTCAGCGTGTTCTACAAACAACCTGCATCCTTTCTTAGGCCTCGTATAAACTGAGTAAGATCCTATTCTACTAGTAGCACATAACACTATTTTATCCTATTAAGATTAAATTATGTTTTAACCGTTTTTGTAGCGTACGCGTCGGAAACAAACAAAGATGAATAATTCTCCCCGTTCTGTCCACGTTTCCCCTATTAGTCTGTACGATCTTTTATAGCCTATAGCCTCCATAAATGTTCTAACCAACAACAAAAATAGTTTTTCAATTCGAGCCAGTAGTTCTTGGGATTGGCACTTTCATACAAACAAACAAACTCTTCAGCTTTATATGTTAGTATAGTTTTAAAATGCTTTTTACAAGTCCTTAACTATAAATTTGTTTATTTACATCAAACTTTAAGTATTTGCGTCTAATGTAGAGAAGAATTTGAAATTATAATTTCGCCTTTTAAAGGTAAAAGGTTGAAGTTTATTTCGTGTCACGTTAATTACGAGCTTTTTCACCGAGACAAGAGTCATAAACTTATTAATGTAGAGTGATTTATCTCCCCGCCATAATGAAACGACCCCGCCGTATTGTCGTTCTATGCCCCGTCGTTAAAAACTGAAAATAAAATATTTGTTTATTGTCTCGTAGAATTACAAAGAGCTAAGGAGAATTGTTAAGAATGATAACCCAATTAATTATGTTTTATCATTTTAATTGCCTAAACTGAATCTGAAATTAGAAGGTATTTTAGCGAGATTTTTCTTTACTGATGGGTTTTGACGGGCCCATTTGCATTGGTCTGACGGTAGCAATGGTGTATGGTAATATGTTTAAAAGTATTAGCTATGTATAAGTTAGGAAATAATATTTATTTTCATACTCAAAATATAGGATAGTGTATCTATAGAACAATTATAAGTTAGTAAATTAAATACTGTCTCTAGTTTATGCGAGTAGTATACACTACAATAAAACACTAAACCGTTAAAGCGGTTTAAAACGCGAAATATATTAGTTAAACTTATTTTAATTACGGCCCAACTTTTCTGATTCTTAACTTATGCTGGGATAATGATATATTTTGTGTTTTAAACCGTTAATGGGTTTTATTTAAAAGTAAGTAAATTCTCACATAATTAAAACACAAATGAACTAAATAGACTTAAATGAGAAGATAATAAGTAATGTACCGTACATATATATTATGTTCGTGAGTTCGAGTTCAGTAATGATAAAATGGTAGTGCTCTGATAAAAAATTAACGAAACCTGAATAAAGCGACGCAAGCATTAAACCTGATCTTATGTACAAATTGGATAATAATGGCAGATAACCCTGAGAGCTGTTTAATTACGTCTCAGCCGCTGCCATCGTTCGCCTGCGATGTTATATTTTGCGCAAAATGTCTAGATCTCGTAGTTATATAAAACTCTTTCGTATTTTAGCTTCTTGTATATTATATACTCAAATATCTATTAGTGCTATTATCTGTATATTAAAAACTTATTTACTTAAAAAAACTAACTCTTGAAAACTTTAATATTTTCTACATCTTAATGCACATAATGGCCCTATATAGGTGAAAAAAAAATTGAAAAAAAAATAACAATTAGTGAGAGAACAGCTCAGAACGCTGTCGATGCCGTCCAAGTCCTGTCCAAGTCGATTTTGAAAACTCTATAAATAACGGTGAAAACATCAATGACTTGGGAGGGTCGAAGTCTATGTCGACAATGATGTACTACCAACTGATATAAGTTCGACTCACGTCCGTATCATTCACTTTATACATGTAAATTTGATTATTAATTTGTATAAAATTGTGATGAAAGTTTGACCGCCTTTGTAGGAAAGGTTAAACACGTTGTATAGTATTGCGTTATGCGATATTGGGTTTTAGGTTCGAATCTCTGGAAAACAGTAGATTGTTACGATCGGGCTGGGAACAAAAGTCTGAAATCTACTAACCATTTGCCTGTAAAAGAAACGAACAGTGAGGTATACAGAATGCGTTCGCCCTATGCCCAACAGTGGGAAAGGGGATTTCACTCTTAATATTTTTATTAATTCTGTTTAGCGCAAATATAGTGTTTCTGGCAGGCACACAAAACTAAAGGTACACCGTCTTTTAATTTTCTCCCCTACATGGGTTAATAAAAACTTAGTTTATTGTATAGTTACACTTATATAATGACCGTAATATCTTGTAAAGCAAATATTATTTGAAAATAACAAAATGTATCAAATTATTTCCTAAAAAGACTCGTCTCAAAGACATCGACTATAGAACATTGAGGGGGAAAGATGAAAAGATGTCGTATTTACTAATGGCACACGTAACAACGTTGAGACAATACGTTAATAATAACGTACCCAGCACGGAAGCCGTACTAGCTCCGGTCGGAAATAATTTTCACAAACAATGAAATTGTTACTAATTTATTTTCCAACCGCAACAAAGCGAGATGTCACGTGAAAAATGTGCGGGAACGGTGCGGATGAGACGACGTACATTCCACAAGACACATTTTACTTGGAGCGTCGTCAGTTTTACGTACATTCGTACAGTGGCACTGTTTAAGTCACATTAAGTTTTGCCTCTCATAGCGAACAATATAAAGGATTTTAAACTTGGAACGGAGCTGAGGGAATTGCGTACAATTTATAAAATTAATCCTACATGTTTAAGCCTTAGCGACTGTTTTGTTTATTAATAGTCTAATTTTATTCGTAATTAGATATATTAAACTCATTAAGACTTATGACAATATATATTGTATATAAATATATATATTATAATTACCTATTTATTTAAGAATAAAATTTATTAAGAATACATGAAACAAACAGAAAAGTCACAGTAACATATTATAAGGAATTGAAAATAAATAATAGAGTACAGATATTTACTTCAATATTTTCACAGATACAATCGACAAAAAATGTCATCACGTTTCCGTACCTCTACGCAAAGCGTTAGTCAGACGTTTTTTCGGGTCTGTTGCACTGATTGAGTCTATTTAATATATAATAAAACAGTTGTTTATACTTTTGTAAAATGCGAACCCCATTTTTGCATCCCTTTCATCAATCGATTTAATTTACTGTCTGTGCGATTATGCGATTATGTGAGTAGTAAACATAAAAAAAACACTTTAAGGGCTTAAGACGCGATATATTTTAGTTAAACTTATGTTAAAATTATATTAACGGCCTGACGTTTTGGAAATACAAATTCGATAGAACGGATGGCGCTAGCGTAGCAGTTTTTTAGATTGACTTCAGAGAAACCCCCCATCGTTAGTCTCGTGACCACTGCTGCTGCGTGCCGAAACGTCGGGCCGTAGTTGAAATATTTTTTAAATAAGTTTAACTAATATATATCGCATTTTAAACCGTTAACGTTTTTTATTTAAACAAAACTAGTTTGATTATTGCGTTCTCACCTACATGCTCTAATTCTTATGTTGCTCCGGGAGACGAACCCAGCAATAATTATCCCAATGTCATTACACTAAACAACTGGAAAGAGGCGATGATAACATCATCTTACCAAATATTGTTTTAACTAAATTTTAATTTTCAACAGGTGGCGTGGATTAAATCCGACTCGAAAGCAATTCTTGCCATTCATACGAACATGGTGGCTTTGAATCCTCGCCTGTCAGTTACCTACAACAATCACAACACGTGGAAACTTCACGTCAGTAATGTGCAAGCAAGCGATTCCGGTACTTACATGTGCCAGGTTAACACAGATCCTATGAAAAGCCAGGTATGACTGATTTTTTAATGATATAATTGCACCTATTATTAAAAGCTGTGATTTTCAAACATTTCACATTACATCTTATTAGGGAATCGAACTCCAAAAAGGTATTAAAAATACGCCTACTAGTGAATTAATAGTTCTGTTGATGTGTGTGTTGATGTATGGTGGCAGTATATGACTAATAATTTGTGCTTTGATTCCCGCCTGGTCCAATATTTTTCTAGTTAAAACATGTTGGACTTCGCCTGGAAATCTAGATAATAAATAGATAGCAGACATATCGAAATACGGTCTGGGTCATGAACGTCTACAGGTGAAAAATCCGTTAAGTATAATCACATTTCAGTTACAGTTTATCCATTTCCAAATACCGAGGTCAAAACAGGTCCACAGCGCATTTTGTTGAGATTTCACCTTTATTAAGTCAACCTTATGCTTGTCGGATATCCTATTTAAGATATGTATAAAAAAAACAGTGTGTGGTACAGACTAAATATGATCATATGATCATCTGATCATATTTAGTCTGTATCACTGAATGATCAGATACGTATTATATTATCATGATCTGCAGTCAAGTTTAATAACGAGACCAACTTCGCAGTTTTATTTAATTATGGAATTAAATTAAAATTCGCGTTCGATTTTCGAATGAGTGATAAAATTTAAGGCACTTTACTGTAACGGTTACACCAATTCTCCATTTAACTGTTCGTTGCAATGCAAATCTTTACACTTAAGCTATCACCGATTGTTAGTATAGACCCATGCGTTATTGGAATTTGGGAATCATTTGTTAGGATCTAATCAAACACAAAATTAATTTTATCATTACAATACTGTTTTCAATTCGTGGAATTGGAGTTAGGCCAATAGCTGAATAGCTTAACAATAATTATTGTTTGAAAATCAGAAGCTTTGTCATCGGTTCCCTTTGTTTAATTTTAAATATTGTTTTACTGTTGATTTGAATTTGATATCTAGAGTTAAAAATATATAATTAAACACATCTAACGTTCTTGCGTATACGAAATGTACGCTATTTCAGTACACTCTTCTTCGACTAAACCATATAAATAAAATTAGAAACATTTAGATTAAAAAATTTTAAATTAAGAAAAGAAATCTATGACACAGACAAGACTTGATCCGGCATCCACAGCGTTCCGTGGTGTGGCTCGCACCAAATGAGCTACAGTCCTATTACGTCATACAGTAGTCATGTCATTTTTTTCCACCTTTCCTGCAATATTATTTTAACCTTAGCACTTGCCAATAAAGGTGTAATGCCTTATAATTTGCAGTTTGAGAAAGCATTGAAGATTTCTGTAATTTAATCTTATATAAAATGGATTTATTCATCATCATGTGCAATTATAATGTGAAAAAATATTAACAATGTCCGCCAAAAATGCAAAATCGCTTTGTTTATCATCTTTTCTGGAAGAGAGCAGATCTGTGCTCAGCATTAGTTAAAGACTTATTTATTTATAACAGATGGGTCATTTGGCGGTCCTAATTCCTCCCGATATCGTGGACACGGCGACCGAAGGCAGTTCAGCAAGAGAGGGTGGAAACATCCGACTGACCTGCACGGCAACCGGAGTTCCACCTCCCACTGTGATGTGGAGAAGAGAACATAATCAGCCCATAGTCTTCAGACACGATGGAGGACGGGAGAAAAAGGGTAAAGTACTTTAAAATTAACGTATCGTTATAATGCCCCATTATTACGTGTAAACGACCTTTTAATTAGTTCTTTCTAGTTCTTTCTCACTAAGCTTTTTTTTCGTATACATTTCTTAATTTTATATCGTTGTATAATTAACATTAATATTTAAAAATATTCTGTTTAAAATGTAATGTCGTTATTATTTTTCTACTCGAGAAGTACTTAAATTCATCTAATTAAAAAGAAAAATTAATTAGTCATAGTTTCAGTTCTAGACCTAATTAAAAACGTCAGGTTATTTTTTTATGATAGAAGTAGACAGACAAGCTTAAGAATTAATTATTCTTTAAGAAATCGAGGAGGTAACAATATATCCTGATGATGCTAGTGATGACGAAACGTCGAGAACCTCTTCTCGCTTACTTTGATCGAACAGCTCAGAAAACAATGATATGACGACAAGCAACAAGGTTCAACATTTCACACAATGTACTGTCGACCTATTTCCACTTTGGATGGAATGACCGTTGTGTTTCGCGTCGGAACGCAGATTAATTCCAGGATAACAATAAGTGAAATTATTTTCCGGTTCTGCAAGGAATAAGACGGACTTATATCTCTGTAAAATAATTATCAGTGAAACGGACTCCCATTAGTTCCTGTCTGTGTCTTCATTAGGCGGGCGGGAAATTACTTTTTATTATACAAAATTGCTTAGTAATGTTGCTGAAGTTTAAAAAATTATGCAGACATTCCGATCAGTGAGGCGAGTTTAACTAAATATTAGGTTTACCTAGTATTATTTAATTTTAATGGCATAATGTAAGTTCTGTCTGTAGTTTACGCGATTAGTACATATTGAAAATTATTTAACTACGGCCCGACGTTTCAGATGCTTTTCAGCAGCCGCCGGGCCGTAATTAAAAAAATTATAACAAATAAGTTTAACTAGTATGTATCGTGTTTTAAACCGTTAAAGTGTTTTATTTTAATAAGTATAGTTGTTATACAAAGTTAAACGGTAACTTATTCACTTTAACTGACTCTAAGTACCTACTTCATAATTCTCCTTAAAGCGTTCTATATCAAATATTCATAAATATCACTTATAACAATGTTTCTACTAGAACTCATTACTGCATTAAGTCAAGGAGGTTCGACATTAAACCATAAAAAAAATATTATAGAAATTAAAAAATTGCGGAAATCTGTTGCGGTATTATGACTCAGTAAGTATATAAATCGTTTTATATGGTCATTATTAATGTAATATATTTTTAAATAGAAACACTGTATCAGGACTTTCGTGGAAGTCTAGTAGAGCTTCTTAAATCCATCTCAAATTTCTCGACATGAAACGTCGACAATCCAACCTGTACAAAAGTAGCCGACAATTTGTGCGGCTGCACAATGACGTCGGCTGAGGTAATAGCTTGGAAAATATCACGGATTGTAGCGTTCTCTTGTTTTCGAGCTATCTCAATTGAACGGTGCAGATATTTATACTGGGCGTAGAGTTAACCATACTCTTATTTCCAATAACGTACCTTGTAGTTTGATAACATCGAGCTCTGTACATATACAATCGAAATTCGAATTTTAAATTGGTACTTTAAAGTTTTGCACTTGTTATGTGTTTGTAACCACGTTGTTTTTTAATGGGAGTTAACTCGTAAACTTTTTAGTCACATGTCAAATCTATACTAATCTATAAAGCTGAAGACTTTGTTTGTTTAAACGCGCTAATCTCAGTAACTACTGGTTCGAATTAAACAATTCTTTTTGTCAATTTATCGAGGAAAGTTATAGGCTATAGGAGAAAAGATGCCCGAAAAACAGTGGGAAATATTGATGTGTATTTTGTTGCGTTGCGTCCACTGCAAACACGGTTCAAGATATCTAAAAAAAATTATGAAAGAATGATTCTTCTTTAAATTATCTAAAAAAAGGTCCACGACAGTATGTCTAGAGTCAAGACTGTACGTTATTATTAAGTCAGGTAACTTTTCTTCAAACATGCATACAATACATGTAATTTGTAACACAATTATTTCAACGTTTTATTCTACATATAAATAACTCCTTAAGTTGTACAAACAAAAGTTATATTGCGGCAATGGGGTGGATAGGGAACAAAAGTCTGTCCTCGGTTTATCTTTCCTTTCCTTTCACTTCTTTCTAACGGGAATGTGAATAGACTTTTAATAGATAGGAGATTCAGACCACACTTTTATTTGCCAGAAGTATAGTACTTGGCTTCTGAGTTGTGATCCATTGGTTACTTTATTAAAACTATTCGCGTATAGGTCTGGTTATTTTTATAAATAATTTGTATTTTTAGATGACGTTGTTATGCAGTTAAATTAATTACTTCGGTATTTATGTGAATATTTTAAAAATGATTGATTTTTTACTCTCAATAAACGTTAATTCTAGAATATTTTACCGCTTAAAGCTTTTCAGACGTTAATTTGACACCGTTTTCTAAATCCAATGTGAGCGATCCTTACGAATATTTTTCATAAAAATCTCTGAATCACAAGAACGAATTGTTAAAATGTCAGCAAAAGTTAAAATAAATGAGATATAGCAGAAGATTGTATTAACATAAGAAATATTCATGAGTCTTGAAATCGTTGAATTAATTCTGAGAGCTTTTTCCAGTCAGGATATCTCGGTAGCTCGTTAGATCCAGGATTCGCATAGAGCAAATACTTTTTAAACACCCTAGAACAGATATTGTTCCCCGCGCACTTTCCTTTGTACTAAAGAATTTTTCATTTCACCCTTCTATTGCAGAATATTTCAAAATAGTTCCTCGGTACTTGTACACTTTTATGCTTACACTAAATTAACGGGCAACGTAAAATGGAACGTAAAATTCACGTATTATTTCCCGTTTTATATTCGCGCGGTAATTTTACATTTAGCTTTTAAAGTGTGCGATTTTAAATAACTTATTACGTATATTAAGCAGTGTACACAAGTATGCTTTTTAGCGTTGACATTATTCCTCACTAAATCTCGGAGTACAGACAGCTTTAACATTTTCAAATTCTTCGTACACTTTATTAAATTACAGCGTTGATGGTTTCAAACGCTCGGATTATTCAGACTTATGTAGGTTATATGGACTGTTAGGCAAACTGTTCGAATGGAATTCTTTGATACAAAATGTATTTTACAACTTTGTCATTACTTTTTAATGACTAAATTCTTGACTTTTAATTAGTTAGTCTACTTAAGTTATAAGTGTAGGTCAAAAAACTTATTTATTTACTGTCAACGTCAAATAAAAAATAGAAAACAACAATAAACAATAAAAAAACAACAATAAACAAATAAAGAAAACAACAATAAATAATAATAAAAACGTAAAATAATTTAATTGAAATAAAATATATGGAGCTTAGTTTTACATATACATATACATTTTTTAAAAGCAACATAAAATGGTTTTATACAGAAATTTAAAATGCTGACAGCTTAATATTAATATGAGTAAAAAGTATATTTTTGAAATTGCGTTTAGCGAAAAATATATACCATTGAAGTAACTGCTACCAAAAGCTTTGCGACGTACAAAAGAGAAATAAAAATGTTATGGAAACTGCAGTGTTTGCTAACCTAATTTCTTAATGCTGTTTGATTATTTATAAAGTTTTTACGGGCTCTTTAGTTCAATAGGCTAATGATCAAAGTGTCCTCGATTCGATTCCCACCGGATACAAAATATTTCAAATGCATTAATAAATTTTCTGAAACATTATTGTCATCGAAACTTCTAGTCATAATAATCGAAATTCCATTCAAAAATGAAAAGCCGTGAAGTTTAATCGCGTATGGGTTGCAGTTTTTATTCCGTCTATCCAATACCCAATCTAAGGGGCCACGGTGCATCTTATTGGATATTGTATGGTTATCAATATTCTCCTTGCTTGAACATATCCATCGTAAATAAGTAAAAATGAATGTTAAGTATACGCAACGCTTTAAAAGTACATTCCTGTCCTGTCGATAAATTAAAAGATATACATAATTATTTGAGGTTATTTATAATTGAAATGGTCATCATATAACATATCAATAACCCTTAATATCCATTGCATAAAATCCCACGACAGCGAAGTAATATTTCCGACCTCAGTCGTTATTGGACATTTTACTTTTGGTTAGCATTTCCGTTTATTTTATATGTTTAAATGAAAAGTTTGTTATATACGAATCCATAAACCAGTGATTATAATAAATAATATGTATTAATTTATCATTATTATACAGTTGAAACTAGGTATTTGAAATTAGTATCTCAATAGCTATTTATTTATTTATTTAATTCTTCATTGCAACACATGCAAACACAAAGTATATATACATTATTCCTTAAAATATTCTTAATAATACAATTTTTAAAGATACATTATTCTCACAAGTTAGAGTGCCATGGGCGGCCTTATCGCTATAGAGCGATCTCTTCCGGGCATATATATCTCAGGCTAGATATATCTCAATCAAATTCAAATTAACAAAGTAAACTACTGAGCTCAGTCTAGCATAATGCCAACCAAAAATTGGTCCAAAATGAGAGTGCACATTTAGGCATCCTATGGACACTTCTTATTTTAACCCTTTATAGTCTCCTCCTGAAAGCCGTCATTGATGAGACTTCCAATTCAATCTACTTTGCATTGTGCTCCCGAACGAGGCATTACACCTAGAATACTTTCACCCGATCCCTTGCACTTATTCATTGGGATTTATTTACGCAAGAGTAAGCAAGCTTTAATACATATATCGGTGGAGACAATAAGACGCCTCGAGATATAAAAGCTCTGAGTTACTCTCCGTTCCTTTTAGAGGGATTCCTTTGAAATGAATCGAATAATTTGCGGACTTTATGTTTATTGTCGGCTTTTTGTTCGTCAAGTCTGTTCCGATGGATATCCGTTGCTATTAAAAATGTCTCATTTAATTCGATTAATACAGAAAGGGACATTTCTACGAGTCTATAGTTTACGCTTAATATTAC